TTTTTTTGAGACAGTCTCACCCTGTCACCCAGGCTGGAGTGCAGTGCCGTGATCTGGGCTCACTGCAGCCTCTGCCTGCCAGATTCAAGCGATTGTCCTGCCTCAGCCACCCGAGTAAGCTGGGGCTGCAAGCATGTGCCACCACACCCAGCTAATTTTTGTATTTTTATTAGAGACAGGGTTTTGCTATATTGGCCAGGCTGGTCTTGAACTCCTGATCTCAAGTGATCTGCCGGCCTCAACCTCCCAAAGTGCTGGGATTACAGTTGTGAGCCATTGCGCCTGGCCTGATACTTGGGAACTGGATTATAATTAGGACGAGCTCGACTTCTTCCTAGGCTGTTCTGTTCTCTAGTCACCAATAATTCTTTATTTTACTTAGTCATCATAATCATAGCATATTCATTTTCATTCTACAGAGATGTAAAAGATGTTTCACGTTTAGGCTTTATTTTCTGACCTTTCTCCATTCTATTCTTTAAGTTTTCAGAATTCAGTAGCTGACAATCTAAAATTTTGAGTTAGATTTGTGCTTACGTGTGGTTTCCATGTAAATTATGTGATATAAGACTATTTCTTGTTGGCTCTTGGTTGTAACTTAAACTTGTCTCTTCACTGTAGCTGCTCTTAGGAAACAACACGCAGCCGAACTCCATCTAGGGGATTTTTTAGTTTTTCTTCGCAGAGTTGTATCTTCAAAAGCGATTCAGTCAAAAATGGCTTCCCCAAAGTGGACAGAAGTGCTTCTAAATATAGCGTCTCAGAAATGTTCTTCAGGTATATGTCCTTTGCCTTTGTCTTAGAGTATTTGTAGATATTACTTGTATTTTATTAAGATAATGCCAGACTTTAGCAACACTCTATGAGTAACCTTGCTTTGAAGACTTTTCTTTCTTATTTTCTGTGTACCTATTTGATCAGAAGAAAACTCTAATTTCAGAAGTAAAAATTGGTAGAAAATAAACAATGTAGCTCTGGAGAAGATCATGGAATGTATCTAGAGAACTTCATCCTCTTTGTTCAGATTACAAAACTAAGAGTAAGGAGAGAACATCCTGTTTAATATGATATTTTAGCACAGATTCTCACCTTGCTTCTTGGATTATCAGGATGCAGATCTGAATTTGTACAGTCTCTCTTAACATGTTGTGGTTTCTGTTGCCTTGATTGTGACTTCTGATTGTTTGATATTTATCACAGTTCTATAGAATAAGCTTAATCCCTGGTCCTTACCCTAAAAGGTCTGCTTACATAGATTACAGTCAGTCCTTTCCTGTTCTCTTTTGTTAAAATTGTGGTAAAATGTACATAACATAAAATTTACCATTTTAATCATTTAAATGTACAATTTAGTGACATTAAGCTTA